TGGAGTAAGTGTGTTCTAAGGAAGACTGTTTTAAAGAGAATTAATAGCAGTGTGTCATTTCTTTTATTGATTTTTTGAAATTTAAACATTCAAGTATATGCTTATCAGCCCTTGTCTTTGAAGAGACTAATCTAACAAGGGAATACAGAAAACGTCAGTGCCTATGTCTTCTTAGAATTCATATATAACATATACATAAAGTAAGAGAGGTATAGAAAAAATTGAGTAATTGAACTAACAAATTTTAAGGAAGAAGAGGACACGACATGATAATTGTCAAGTATGTCATTTAGTTAATCCCTTTAAGCAGTTGTTGTACACTGAAAATCTACAACATTAATAACTGAGTGAGCATTTATCACAGTAATTATAACTCTGATTCAGACCCAAAGAGCCATGAAAAAAAAATCACACATAACTAGATAATTTGACACATATTACACATAACTAGATAATTTGACACATATTACATAACTAGATTATTTATCTGATTTTCTTTCCTTCTTTGGAGCTGAATATGCATTTTTAATGCCTCGAATGCAAACAAAGACTTCCTTCCAAAGCATCGATCCCCTGGGTTCCCCAACAATTATAAGGCCCTGGGATTTTGCTGACACATTTGCCATCAGAGAGAGACCCAGCGCTGCTAAGATCAGAGATGTCCACTTAGTTCCAGCATAGCGGCTAGGCAAAACTACCCTTCATCTTGAAAGGCTCATGGTCTCTGTACTTTTCCCACAAAGATCAGAAAGAAAAATGCTATCTTATTTTCTTTCAAATTTTGCCCATTTCTCTCTGCTTTCTATACTTTGATGAAATACAGGAAAAAGAACCTGTGGTTGAGCTCAAACTACTTGTAAATGTAAGTGCCTTCTCTCCACTAGTTCATAGGACCATTTTTCTTATGAGTAATGTATTCTGTGAGCCTCTCTAACATAAACTGGGTACCGGGTCCTCTTCAGAGACATGCGCAGGTGAAGTGGGTCAGAACATCAGGATCTAAGCTGAAAGCCAGGGGTGGAGAGAATATGTAGAGGGCAAACAACTAATTATTGTGATGTGAATATGAGAGAAGGGGGGAAAGTTAAAGGATTAAAAGGATATAAAACAACAAAATTATCAAAAATAGAGCTAAACTAGGAAATAGGAAGAAACTGCTTGACTAGCAGTCTAGATGTTTACCTTAGCAAAAGCAAAAGTGCAGGATCCATTAAAGGCTGAAGAACAGGAGGTATGAGTAAATGCGAGGGTGGAGTAGCAAGCCTGCACATGGATCATATGGAGTAAAGGAATCACGGATCTAGCCATCTCCTACATTACTGCTATGTATATAAGCACAATGTGCAAATAAAGTATTAAAAATAGGACCCAGGTAATTCAGAAGACAGAGCCCTGTGTGCAGGAGTTTAGGATTTGGGGGATATAGAGTCAGTTCTGATGTTAGGGATACAGTCACTTTGGATGTTAAATCACTATGGAATCTAGGTCTTCATGTTTTACTTCCCTGGACCTCAGTTCCCTCATTTGTAGTATGATGAGGTCCATTAGATATTAGCTGTTAAATTACTATTAAATATTGACTGTGATTTAGGAACTTTGTTGTGGGTGTTTTGTACTCACAAAAAGCTTTTCCTTCATACTATCATTGTTGGCATTTCAGAGATAGAATCACGAGGCACAAATACAAGATTTGATTTCCCCAAAACCATAAAGTGATAAAGCCACAGGCCCAACCTACACAGATTAACTCCAAAGCCTGCTTTCATTCCAGCCCTTCCATCCTGCCATTTCAAGAAATGATCTCAGAATCAAGTGACAGAAAAGTAAATGAGAATAGTATTCAGTCATTTAGAGGTGTTCCAGGAAGCATCTCAAGAGATAAAGAGAAAGCTAGGGTTTCATAGGAGAGGTAAATACTCACTGTAAGGGATAAAGGACGGAGTGACAGTAATGAGTTATGTGTGATGGCTTGTATACAGCTGAGGGCAGATGCATGACCTAATGCTGAGGATTAGAGAACGTAAGATTTTCATTAAGATGAAGAAATTTCCAGAAAGAATGCCCAGGTTAATAACTGAGTTAACCAAGACCCATAAGGGACATGATCATTTTATTCTCCCATAACTAAAAGAGTATAAGTTGAAAAAGGAGCTAAATTCATATCTGCAGAGTAGAAATCAAGGACAATGGAGGACTATTTCAAGGAGGCAGAGTTTCTCTCAGAAAAATTCTAGACAAGTAAGCTATCTAGCAAGAGAGCAAGCCAGCCTATTTTGTGAGGCAGTGGAGACAGGACATCCTATAGCCTAAATTTCATGCCATAAAAAAGTTCCTGAATTACATCCAGGTTTAGTTAGAAGATTCCTAATCTTTCTTAGTGTAAAATTGTCTGTTTAAAGCTTTTGATTTAATCATTATGTGATCTCCATATCAGACAATAGATCTTCCCACAAAAAGGGTGAGAACTGATTACAGAACATTATGAAGGGTGTAGGACTGAGATGAGGCTGAAAAAGTAGAAGTTAGAGTCCAAGGCTCATAATTATTTGAACGTAATTTAAACTTCAATTAAATTCTTAATCCCAGATTTCCATGAACTCATGACAAGAGAAACTGTAATGGGTGAAGCATCTCTAAAGCCTCACAACTGACCACGAATCAATGAAAATTTTTATATCTGAACAAGCAATATTTTAGTCAAATACATGAGGGGTAGGAGAGATCATTTTTCATTTGTTTTCTGGATTTTCAAAAGATGTCTTTAAAGGTAAGGACCATCATTCTCAAGTAGGCTAAGAAAATCTTTAATGTTCTGGAGCTTCAGTTTCCTCTTCCATAAAATGACAGAATTAGATGAAACGAGTTCTAAATCACTTCTTGATTTAAAGTAGTGTGAACTTTCTGTGCATCTATGAATACAAAGCACAGAGACAACAAAGAAATAAATTTCCTCAGATAGTTGTGAATTGGGGTATTTGTGTCACTGCTTTTGTCTCCTGACCTTCCCCACGTGATTAACATGTTTATTACTCATAATATCGGACCACGCTTAACAACTTTATATAGAAACAGACCTGGTTTCTTTGGCAACTTCTCACTTTTGTCAAATTTTCTCTTTCTCTGCTTCTCGTTGACTGAGTCTGATCGCTACTGACCAATGAAGAGACAGAACCAAAGCACAATCACTGACTTCATTCTGGTAGGCTTCTCAAACCTGGGGGACCTGCAGATCCTTCTCTTCATTATCTTCTTACTGGTCTACCTGACCACTCTGACTGCCAATGCCACCATCATGACAGTTATTCGCCTGGACAGAAGTTTGCACACCCCTATGTACTTCTTTCTCTTTGTCCTTTCCTGCTCTGAAACTTGCTATACGTTGGTCATTGTACCCAAAATGCTCACCAATTTGTTGGCCACAGTTCCGAGTATTTCCTTCTCTGGATGTGCTGCCCAGCTCTATTTCTTTGTGGGCTTAGCTTGTACCAACTGCTTTCTCATCGCTGTGATGGGCTATGACCGCTATGTTGCCATCTGCAACCCTCTCAACTACACACTCATCATCAGTAAAGCTGCCTGCGTGCAGCTGGTTCTAGCCTCCAGCTTTTGTGGTTTCCTAATCTCTATGGTTGTCAACATCCTGGTGTTTAGTGTGCCCTTCTGTGCTTCCAATCGAGTCAACCACTTTTTCTGTGACATTTCCCCTGTCCTAAAACTGGGCTGCACAGATACTAACTTGAAGGAAATGGTCATCTTCTTCCTCAGCATTCTGGTATTGTTGGTTCCTTTTGTGTTGATCTTCATTTCTTACGTCTTCATCGTTTCTACCATCCTCAAGATCTCCTCAGTGGAGGGACAGCGCAAAGCCTTTGCCACTTGTGCCTCCCACCTCACAGTGGTCATTGTCCACTATGGCTGTGCTTCCTCTATCTACCTGAGGCCCACATCCCTGTACTCCTCAGATAAGGACCTGCTTGTAGCAGTGACCTATACCGTGATCACCCCACTTCTCAACCCCCTCGTCTATACACTGAGAAATAAAGAAGTAAAGACGGCCCTGAGAAAAGTTCTGAGTAGGTATTCATTTCCCAAAACTGTATAAGTGAGCAGACCTATCAGGAAATTATATTCATTTTCATTCTATAAACATATCTGTCCTTTTTTATACAACATTTTAACAAAGAAAGAGATAAGGACTCAAGTTATTTTGGTTTTTTATACTGAAGATATACTTTCATGGTAACCCTATATCCAATGTACACATCATACTGATTGTTTTCCAGAACTCACACGAACATGCAAACATTCAAAGATTAACATCATGCTCTTTTCATGCACTGCCAACATCAGTTTTCTAGGATCAGCACCACAAGGGCTACAGTTTCTGTTTCAGAATTCCCCAGACTGTTGCTACCTCTCCTAGTCTAAAACAGTAAGAAATGTTGAAGCCTCTGAATGCTTCTATGTATTTTGGAAATTTTAAATTAATTGTTGCAATAAATTATTTCTTCATTTAAAGAATACGAATTCAGTTGTGATTAAATCAAGTGAGAAAGGACAGTTCTGAGAGGGTGATGGAGACCTTAGAAATTGCTGATTTTAGAGTTAGGAAGAGCAGGGCTTTGCATCTTGATTCAGGTCATATCCTGTTTAATTGCTCTGGGCCAGATTTAACCACTCTCATGTAATTTAATGAAACATATGGCTTTTAATACCTCCACAAGAGGTAAATAGATTTGTAGATGTAAACTAATATTAGAACTAGTATATATAAGCTAATATTAGAACTGAATAGGTTAGTATATGTAAAGAAAGTCCATATCTGTCCGATAGAAGCCTTTAAAAATTAGTTTTTTCCCTTCCCTTTGTTTTCTTTTCTTTCTTCACAACCTGGCTTTGGACTTCTTGTTAAATAAAATGTGAAAGTAAATTGGCCACTCTGGAGCTCTGAGCTGTTCATGCATCTGCCACCCTGGGCAAATCATTAAAGGCAACACCTTAGTAAGTACTTTGAGAATGAAGTTCTGTCCCCCATAACTCAGTGGAAGAAATGGTCAGTTACCTGTATAGGTGCATCACATCTACTTTCTGAGTACACTGTGGCTTTTGCTAAGTTTTGTTTCAGTAAAATAACTGAATGCTATGATACTAACACATTTTCACGGCTCATCCTTTCACTTGACATCACGTAGTTCAATAACTTCCTTGGGAGATATATAACCTGGATTTAACAGTTAAGCCTTCACACATACTTGCTGTGTGAGCATAAGCTAGTAACATAAACTGTATGAATTGGGGATGATTAAAAATAGAGTTGTTGTAAGAATTAAATTGCTAAATGCCTTAGAATACCTAGCACATTGTTTTGAATTATGATATGCATTTGATAAAAATTAAGAAAATTATTGCTTTATACATAAAATGAGAGGCAAAAAAGGTTATAATGCAGAATATAAAGACAAAAAATAAGAAAGAAAAACTAAATAAAATAAAGAAGAAAGCATAATATAAAGAGAAGAAATAAAAAACAAAAAGGATTAGAAAAATATCCAAAAATGAAAAATAATTGCTTGATGAAGGCTTAGTTAAATTTGTTTCATACAATAGTAGCAGTGAGTTCTTTTCAATATCTGCAGTTCTGTTTTTTACAGACTGAACTCAACAATTTGATGAGTACCCCTAGGATAAAGTTAGATTGCTAATTCATCCCTACTTCACAACAGTATATGCAACACCTTCAGAACATTTCTGTAAGAAGATGGCTGAATGAGAGCATGGATATTTACATCAGACTCTTTTTAGATTCAGGGTTTGAGCTTTGTTAGCTGAGATTAAATTGTTAGGACCCACTTGTGAGAGGATTTGGGGAGCTCATTGGATTCCCTCCTGCTCACTGAAAATTGTGAGAGGTGAGGTTTAGCTTCATTCTCTGAGGGCTTAGAGGTTCTGGAACACATTTCTCCAGCTCCACATATATCTGGGAAATATACTCCTCTCTAAATCACACAGGATACAGATACTGCACTGCTCACTACAGAATAACGACTGCTCATAAACTTTTATCAGAACTGACTCCCTAGATAGCATGCCATTCTGTCCAAACACTGACATACACTGGACTGAATCTACACTTTGGAATGACCTTAATAAAGATATGATATCAACAAAGAACTATACCTGCCATATATTAGCCTTTCAAAATCTTTTTTAATTCACAAATTGTTGTAAAAATTGGTTCCACTTTGTAGTTATACATGATCACAAATTACATGAACATTTTCTGATGAGTCTTCAGCGATCCCTTTGCTATTGACTTAATTAAATATTGTTTTAAAAACACTGTATATTCTGAATCTGAAATGTGTTTTCTACATACATGCATTTATCTACCAGAAATTATTTAGCATCTTTCACTTACCTGGTATAGTGGTGAAAATAAAGCAGAGAATGAAATATACCACGGAAAAGTAAAGACACTATTAGAGCACACTGTGATTAATACTTAATGGGGCCACATTGTCTGCAGGTAATAATATAAGGACCTGACTAAATCTTGAAAGAATCGAGAAAGTTTCCTGAGGAAGTCATGTTTAAATTTAAACTTGAGAAATAAGTAAAACTGAGAAGGTAAAGACAATACAGGGTGCTTTAGGTGTGTGCACAGGTTTAGAGAAAGAATACATAGCACAGAGTACATTTCAGTGTCCCATATACCTGAAAACAGACTTCCAAGATGACACAGAATTTGATAAAAATAAGTGAGAAACCGTGATCTCTTTAGAAAGGGTTTTGTAGATTAAACAGGCAAGAAGGAATCTGGTGATATGAACAAGTTGGGTTTAATCCAGCTATAGTCTGGCTTAACGTATGTCATATTGCAAAATTACTATGTCTGGGAGGAAATAGATAGGACAGACTATTGCTATATGCACATCATAAGTTCTATATATTCATATATAGAATGTGATTGTCTTGATGGATCCTGAAAAAGTCTGCCTTGTTAAACATGAAAATATAATTGGAATAAAACATAAAAATAAATCAGTAGGAACTTTTAGAATCTAGTAGAACATCTTTTGAAGTTTACAGTAGATATAATTATGATGAAATGTGAGGAATTTTCACATTGATATCACGAATGAAACATCAGTTCTCACTATTTCTATTTTTATTCAATGATGTTCTTTTCAGATGTAAAGAAAACATAAAATGACAGTTATTTGAAAGGAAAAATTAAATTTTGTCATTGAATATATTACTTAGATCATAGAAATTACAAATAATTTTGTTGATTATTTTCTGTGCTGTGCAGAAACTTTAATTGAAATAGTCACACATTTTGCATTTATTGCTAGTGCTTTTTGTGTCACATCCAAAAATTCATTGCCAACGCTAATGTTATGGAGTTTTTCTCTGTTCCTTTAAGTTTTACATTTTTTTTGGTTTTACATTGAAGCTTTCAATCAATTTTGAACTGATTTTTTTTTGTGTTTAATGTAATATAAAAGTGCAGTTCTACTCTTTTTCATATGGAGATCCAATTTTCCCAGCACCATAACTTAAAGAGGCTATCTTTTCACTCTTGCGTACTGTTGGTACCTTTGTCCTGGAGGAGCTGGCCATTTATATTTGGGCTTACTTATCAGCTTTCTTTTCTCTTCCAGTTTTCTATGTGTCTGCGCTTTGTACATAATTAAAGCAGGAAGGGTGATTCTTTTCGCTTTGTTGTTCTTATTTGCATTAGCTTAGCTATTGGGAAGATTTTGTGGTTTCATACAAGATTGAGATTTTTTTTTCTATTTCTGAAAAAATGCCTTGGGAATTATGATAGAAATTTAATTGAATTTGTGGATCACTTCAGGTAGATATTTGACAAGATTAATTCTTCCATTTTCTGAACATAAAACATTTGCATTTTTTCTTCAGTTTCTTTCACCAGTACTTTGTAGTTTTCAGTATATATATCTCTACCTTTCTTGCTAAATTTGTTCCTAAATGTTTTATTCTTTTCGATGGTGGGACTGTTTTGTTAATTACATCTCAGATAGTTGGTTGTCAATGTATAAACACACAACTGATATTTATAGATTGATTTTGTATCTTGTAACTTTACTGAATTCATTAATTACTTTTTTACAATTACTATTTAATAACATACAAAGGAAACACAAAGGCTACTTTATATGAAAAGCTAGAAACATATTTACTCAAGGCAACTCCCCAATTTAAAACACAGAAAATAACAGGGATGACCAAAACATGGGTAGATATTAAAGCTAACTACATTTACTAGACTGCCTTGATATATTCTATACCTTTTTAATTGGTACATAAGGCTCAAGTTCTGAGGGTTCAGGTTTTATTGAAAATCATCTCAAGCTTCAAGTTTACCAAAGATTTTCCTAGGCTCAAAGTGGTAATCAGCTCTTCATAACAGGGTGCTCTGCAGTTTCTTCCACTTTAGACCTCTCTATTGGGTTAATGCCTCTGTTTTCCTTGTCTTTCCCATGTGATTTTTTATGCTGGAAAAACAGAACTCCACCACTTGAAGAACAATATACACTGGCGTCTGCAGGTGGCTTTTGACTTAGAGGTTATTCAATAATTAATTTTAACAGGTGTTTTGGACCCATACAGAAAAATGGGGAGACAGAACCTCTTTCTTGTTTACTTCTCTTATAAGAATACTGATTCCACTAGATTGGAGCCCAACCATTAGAATTTCATTTAAGCTCAATTACTACTTCTTTAGCAATCCAATATAACCACTTGAAAGTTAGGGCTTCAATATACGAATTTCAAGAGAGCACCCACATTCAGTCCATAACAGAGAGAGCACCCATAACAGTGAGTAAGGCTGTTTCATTTGGTGTTCAATACTAGCAAGATCACTGGAACAAATCATTGAACAAAGCAACTAACTAGAAAATCATCTGGCAGCTCCATAGAAATAAAAGTTGATGATTAGAGCCATTATCTCATGCCATCTTTATCTCACTTGATTCCAGACTCAGGGGGATGATACTTATAGAGCTATATAACATTAGCCAGTATAACAAGATTGTGATGTTGTGGTGTAGTTACTAGCGAACTTTGGAATCT